ATTTCGTATGTTCTAAAAGCATGGGGTTCACAGACAGGGACATGACAGGGGCCCTTGTAGATGTAAGGGGTGAGAACCGCCAAAGTGGAGAGTCCCCTCCCTCTCCCACACCCTAGAAAACATATCTCATTATGCAATCAGCTTTATCACCTAGAAAATACACCTGATATTAAAGACAGATCATCCTGCATGAGTGTTCCTATTTCAGAGAAGAAACAGCATCAAGAGGAAGGGAAACATCTACCCTAAATATACCATGTACCAGTTTCCTCAGGAGGCAGCCCCAAATAAACGAAACATTCCGACTTCTGAGGGAGACACTCCTGATTCTGCCAAAGTCTGTTAACTACAAGAGTCTCTGACTGCTAATGTGTAAAATGAGGATAATAATATCTACCTAATGGACTACTGTGAGGGTTAAATAAATCAATCTAAGTAAAGGGCTTACTTCATAGAAGGTGCTTGCAATTTGGTCTAAAATTTTTTGTATGAGATTAGACACTAAGTTACTTATCCATACTTGCATCTAAGTTTATCTGACATGTATAAGAGGGTATTACTTTCATTCTCTCCAGTATTAAAGACAGGTAGTAACAGTGGCTGGAAACAATAAAGCTGACTTGTACTGCAGAGATGTTCCCAGGCTCTCAGTACATGGAAAACACTTGTCAGGTCATCTTCATAGTCTGTAAATAATACCCCCAGGATCCCATGGGGCCAGTGACCACATGCACATTTGGAAGATTTGGGTGCCACCTGGTAATAACAGAAGTCCCAAAATAAAACCTTCATTCTGGACCCCTGAACCAGAATGAAACCCTATTGCAATTTCATCCTCTCCCAAAAGTGTAATCCTAAACAACCAATCCGGAGTTTCCAGGTCAGCACAGTGAGGTAATCAACGTGACAAGACATCCTTGCCTCCCCTGAGGAAAGATGTTTTTACCTGAATAATCCTTTCTTTTGCTAATAACCTTGTCCAAGCCTCTTTCGAGCTATAAACACTCCGCATTTCATACAAGTCCTCACACAATCTAGAATAGACAGTGCCAAGTCATAAATTGTTTAATAGAGCCAATTCGAGCTCTAGATTTGTGAATGTGTGAATGTTGTGTCTGTAACCTCTCAGCCCCCAACACTCCACGCCACGCAGGAGTTTCGGGACCGGCTCCAAGGACCGTTGAAGGCACATTCAGAGTGAGCTGCTCAACAGCTACATAAGAAGGACCCGTTGTTGTTGTTTTGTTCCAGGATATATGGAATTCATTGATAGTGGTAGATTCGAGCACTCCTGGTGCACCTGAGTGAGGGACTAATTTTTAAAAGTGTTCAAATGCCAGAGAGACCATGCAACCATTAACTTGCAGGAGTTACACCCTTTTCCAAAATATATTGTTAACATTGAAAAATGAGGAGCAGGAAGTTGTGTATCGTGTGCTCCTGTCCGCGGGATAAACCGGGCGGTGCACGCAAACATCACTGCACACACCAGTAAGTGGGTGGAAATGCTCAGGCTGTGAAAGGACACAAAAAACTGAGTACTCGTCATTTTCAGAAACAAAATTGGGGCCTAACAGACAAAGACAAGAGGAGGCACTTCTCACTGTGTCCCCTTCCCAACGCTTGACGCCCACCTGGACCATCCGCGCGCACCGTCCAGTGGAAACGCCCAGGACGCGTCACACCGCCCTGCTCAGCGCCCAGGCGGGTCTCCAGCAGGAGAAAGTCACCCGAAGAGCTGATGCAATGACACCTGAAACCACCCAAATGAGCGGCCAGATTTGGCCTCAAGGAGACACTTTGCTCTTGGCACAGAAAAGGGGCGCGCTCCGGGGCGCTGCTCACTCCCCGCGCCCGGCTGCACCCCCACCCCACTGCGGGGGCTCCTCAGCGCGCCGGGTGCGTCCTTCTGCGGGGAGAGGGCGCGCGTCCCGGGGCGGCGCGGAGCAGGAGACAAAGCTGGGGATCCGCTCGTGGCAGAAGGGTTAGAATTTGCGCTTTGCAACAGACCTGTTTTTTTTTTTTTTTAAAGAAATTTCTATTTTTTTTTTTTTTAAGATTTATTTATTTATTTATACAAGCACTGGGTACAGTCAGAAGCACGGGAGGGCGAGAGAATTCACCAGAGCCAGAGTGGGGAGCAGAGCAGGCAGAAGGACCGAAGTACACTGCTGAGGGGAGCAGCGGGCGGCAGGAGAGGTCTGCGCGCCATGTGGGACCCTCCTCTGGTGGCCGGGGAGCAGCCGGGGATTGAACCGGCGCTGCAGAGGCTGCGGGCAGCTTCGCAACCCAGCGCTCAACTGCTGCGCCACCGGGGAGGCCCGCAACAGACCTGTTTTTGAGATATTTAAATCCCACGTGTCTGATTTCTGTTGTTTATCTCTGTTCTCAAAGGGCTTTTAAAAGATCAAGACACCCTTAGCCAAACTTGGAGAAACAGCCTGAGCTCCCGCGCGCAGCAAGCCCCGTGGCGCCCTCTGCCCGCCAAGGCTGCGGCTGCGCCTCTGCAGGAGAAGGACTTGGAGCTGCCAGGGCGAAACAGAGAATGACCCGGATAACTTTCACGTGTTTTTGGATTGTGTTAAGTCTCTCCTCCTTCTTCTCCACGCTGTTCCCCTTCTTTCCTGCTGCCCCTCACGCCCTGATTCTTCCCCTTAAACCTGTGAAGCCCACACTGCTCCAGGCAACACCAAACAGCTCACAGGCCTGGAATCCACAGGGTGGAGTTTTGTCTCCCCTGAACCCATCTAGGCTGCCCCTTAGTATAAACAAAGCTAGACACCCAGGTAACTGACCATAGGTGGTCTTTGCGCTGCTCCAGCATGAAGATTGGAGAGGAAAGAGCAGGAAGGGAGAGGCCAGCACTGAGGCAGCTTCCCTTGTAAATAAACCTTTTATTAACCTTGTGTGTGTGCCTGTAGTGGAGTATTAAGTCCCTTTTAAGCGCGCAGGTGAGGACCCACAGCCAGGCAACACGTTTTATATTGGCTGCTCTGTAACACCACGACTGAGGTTTCTCTCCTGGTGTGCACTGACCCAGCCAGGACAGGTGCCCTCTCCCCTCTGCCAGGGCCCCTGTTCAGAGCACATCCCTGCCCCACAGGCTCTCTGGTGTGCAGGGCTGCGCCTGGACCAGCATCCTCCCAAGCACTGGATTCTCAGATGGAGAGCCCCAGCGATCCTAGGTTATGAGCAGAAAAAGAGCAGGTGATGAGACCTAGATGCAGCCGAGCTCCACCCCTGCCTGCTTAAACCCCCTCTACAGTGTCCTCTTAGCAGGAGGGAAAATGAGGAGTTTGGAGTGGAAAAAAAAAGAGTAAGATGATTACTGAAGAATAATTCTGGCTAAAGAAAATAATACACCTAGATACTTGAAGTTTCCTTCACATACACACCCCCACCCTCCACATGCCCCATCCTAACTAAGGAATGAGATCCCCATATTCACATCCAGGGATCCCATCCCCTCTCACCTGCAGGCCTTCACCTCACACTGATGCCCCCAGGACTAGGGATTCACTAAATAAGAAAAGCACAGTCACAAATGTTAAAGACAAAGACAAAACTGGTCCAGGTGATTGAATGGCCTGTCTCTCTCCAGGGGCAACTGTAAACAGGGTCGAGGGAAATGAAGAAGTGGGGACAGTAGAGTCCAGTCTTCTCAGTGCCTGTAGAGAAGGGCTGCCAAGAAGGGAGTAGCGTGACCACAGACCCACAGGCTGGGTCAGGGGGAAGAGGCGCCAGGGAGCTCAGGGAGCAGCCAGACCCCACAGCCCAGGGAAGGAGGGAGACACGGGAATTCCCTTCTGGGGCCCCAGCAGCAAGAAGAGCAATGGCCGTGGCCCTGGCTGTGCTGAGACGAGCAGTGGGGCAGGGGCAGGGCATGGCCCCGTCTGAGGCTCCAGAGGCTCCTGAGTCAGAGGCAGGGGTGACCTCAGACCAGGGATGGGCAGCGGATGGCACATTCTGCCCCCACTTTGGTGCCCCACCCAGAGGTGACTGTTCAAGCACCCCCTCCTCAGGCGTGCATCTGGGGCACTGCAGGCTGGGGCTGCCAGTTAGAGCAGGTGCACAAGCTGGAACCCACTTCCCCACAATCTGTTGGTCTCACAGTCCCTTCTGCTCCTACATGTGATGTTTGACTTTTCAAGAAAGAGCTTCCATTCTTCTGATTTAGTACTAGCTCACTCAAAGGAAAAAGAAAGTGCAAATTTCGGATCATAACTTCACAGATTCCTCCTCCCTAGCCTGAAGCTAAGCAGGGTCCCCTGAGGTCCTGTTGTTCTTCCTGGTGCTGGGATTATTGTACTTGAGCCTCACCCTGTATCAGGTCACCCAGCAGGACAGTGTCCCACATTATATTCATTTAAAAATTTTATTCGGACCTCCCCGGTGGCGCGGCGGTTGAGCACTGGGTTGCAGGGCTGCCCGCGGCCTCTGCAGCGCCGGTTTGATCCCCAGCTGCTCCCCGGCCACCAGAAGAGGGTCCCACATGGCGCGACAGACCTCTCCTGCCACCCACTGCTCCCCTCAGCAGTGTGCTTTGGTCCTTCTGCCTGCTCTGCTCCCCGCTCTGGCTCTGGTGGGTTCTCTCGCCCTCCTGCGCTTCTGACTGTGCCCAGTCCTTGTATAGATAAATAAATAAATCTTTTAAAAAAATTATTCTTTTTTCATGAGATGGCACTGCTTTCCAATACCACAGATGATTCTCTGTACAGGGTCACCCCTCTTTAGATGTATGTTACCAATCACACTCCCCACCAGGGCACCCACAGAGCCAGGCTCCCTTCTAACTAAAACAGCTCACACTTAAAAATTTCATTCTGGTTTCAAAGAATCTCTAGCAAAGGAATGTTCTCAGGTCACTGAAAACTAGGGTCAGAAGAGCAGGCACTTGATTTCTCTCCATGCTGCTCCCCAGAGCTCCACAAAACCCAACTCTCAGCCCTGCAGGGAAGCATCACACAGACAGGCCCTGGCTGGGGCAGCTTCAGGTTGCAAGTGAGTTTTATTGAAAGAAGCAGTGAGGAGGTTAACAGGGGACCCCACACACGCCTGTCCCACCCTCCAAAGCCACGTGGTACAAGCCTCTGGCAGGGATGCTGCTGTGGGATGGCCAGGAGCCCAACTTGGGTTATTCCCTTCAGGGCAAAGAGGGAAGAGCTCAAGAGAGTGGGAGCCACAAGCATGAGTCGGGGTGGGGGTGCATCTCTGTCCAACCTAAGCTGGAGACCTACACCCACTGATCAAAGTAGAGCTGGTTCCCCAAACAGGCAATGATGATGAATTTCTTCCTGTTGATGGTCTTGTAGTTAGGGATGGGGTACCTGCGTGTCAGAATACAGTCTGTGATGCTCATTTGATTCCTGCTCCTGTGGCAGTTGTTCCGCCCATTTTTGCAGCGGATGTTTGGCTCACGGCAGACGGCCTGGACAGCTGCAAGGGACGCGTGCACAAAGGTGTTGAAGGTCCTGCTTAAAAGATTCCGGCGCCTCATCATCTGGTTGCAGTAGTGACGGCCAAAGGGGCCATTACTGGTGTCTATGTGCTTCCGCTGGAAATCCTGGGCCAAGGAAGGCTGGGCCCCCTCGAGCACCAGCAGCACCAGGACCAGCAGTGAAAACAGGATGAGGGACTTCAGAGCCATGGTGGCCGCGCTCCCCTGGAGGCCCCACCTGGGAGAGGAGAGAGGAGGAAAAGACGCTTCTTAGGATAAGGACCCTGCTCTCATCGCTGGGCTCTGGGTCACAGATGCCCCTTAGATCAGCAAGAAAGTCACCTTCTCCAGTGAGATATGTCAAGTTACCAGATAAAGAGCATTTTGTGATAAAGAGCATTTTCTCCTGCTTGCTAGAGAAACTCCATCGTCCCCACTGTGAGTGAGCGCCAAAGTGCCAAACCCAGACAGTCCTGTCTGTGACTACTGAGGTGTTTGCTGTCAAATACATGTGTACCCCGTGCTCAACCGCTTCATTAGCAGATCCTTTCCAATAAACCCTGAGCTGCCCTGACACTCAGGATCAGGCTGACAGACTCTGCTGTCCTCCAGCTCAAGGACACTCAAACCAGTGCCTGAAACAAGAATTTTTTGAGTTCTCAAGAGAGATGATATCCTCTCTCAAATTTGCGACAGCTACTTACTTCCCCAGCCCCATGGGGGGTCTCTTTGCAGCTGGCAAGCTCTGCTTACACCCTCCCACCCCTCCCCACCCCAGCTCTGCCTGGCCTAAGCTGTCTCAGTGCTGACCTCTCCCCTCCTGCTCCTGCCTCTCCAGTCTCAAGCAGAAGCAGCTCCAGAGACCACCAGGTGGGCACTCACCTGGGTGTCTAGTTTGTTCTCTGGGAGAGAGTGGAGATCAGTTTCTGCAATTCTGGGGTCCCTGGGGTTCAGATCTTGTAGAAACTACAAGGGGTGTGGCTTCTAAGAGGAGAAGAGTGGGAGGAGCATCAGAGTTTCAGTCTCAAGGTAGAGGAGGACAATGTGAGAGTGGGGATTTGTCCAGGCTTCCCTCTGCTGGGAGGGGCCTCTCTCCCATGTGGATCATCTGTTTTCATCTGTTTTCCAGGAGGAACAGGGAAGATCATGCAGCACTGGTGCCTGAACTGTAACCTAGTCCTGGATTTCTTTTTTGGCCATTTTCAACAATTAGCCCTTGGAGTTAACAAAGGGCATATAACTTGTGATCTCAGGGGAGGGATGGAAGCCTCTCTCTGCCCAGGAGTCCTGGAGCAGCTTGGTGAAAGGTTTGGGGTGGTAAAGAAAAGGACAGCCAGGCTAAACTTTCTCAAAGGAAGGGAAAATTTATTGCACCACCGGGGTGAGCTTCGTGGACCCAATGTGGGGGTCTGTGAAGTCACACCCCTTGTTAGGGGAAGGGTCGTTCTTATAGGGTGAGGAGAGGTTAGGTGGGAGAACTGGGTTGGCAGGCCTGGAAACAGGTTCAGGCGGAGCAAAGTTGTTTTTCATGGAGCCGAGTTGTTTTTCTCCTATAAGTTGTTTTTTCTTCTGTTTATTGCTTCAGTTTCGGTTTGATGGTATCAGTGGTCCTGCTGTCAGGGCCATCTTGTATTTTTCCTATGTGGGCTTCCTCATTCCTGGCCCCTGCATCGACCTTTCACTTGAACTGGAATCCACATCTCCCAATACTTTTCTCGGAAACAGGGGTAGTGAGGAGAAGTGTCCATCTGTGCCCAGCCAGAGGGCTTCCCTGATCTGGAGAACAAGGGTGGCCTGCCTGGACTAGGAAGAGAAGAACGTCTCTATTTTAGGCTGGGTCTCCCCAGTCATGGCCACTTTTGCCCACCCTGTAGCTCTACTCCAAAGGCTTGAAAATGAGCATGTGGCAGGTTTATCTACAGTGACAACATGTCCTCCGAGTAAGGGTTATATAGAGGAACTAAAGATAGTACAAACCCTTAATCCTCTTTGGTGAAAAAATAGAGATCATCATACTTCTTCCAACCTAAAGGAATGGTTTGTTTATTTTGTTTGTTTGTTTTCTGTTAAGTGACAATTTAAATATCCCTGGCATAAGTATTGTATAAATATTCTTCTCTGCCCTGGATAATAGACAGTCTTGGTCCTAATTCTGCTGTGGCACCATAAGAGTGGGGCAAATTATAGAATTTAGTTTCCCTCTTCCTCAGATACCTCATCTCTAAGATGGGCATATTTATATGAATCTTTTGGATTTATTATTAGGATAAAATAAAGCAAAACGCAGAAGATTAGAGTAGTGCTGGATAACATCAACCAATGTGAACTCTGTGATTGTTGACTCGGGAAGTGGTTTAAAAGCTCCCTAAGAAATGGGTTAAACAACAGTGGGCTGTGCTCTCTGAGATGCTGTCTACGCAGAGTGCAGTATAGGGACACCACACTTGCTTTGCTCAAAACCTGAGCTGTAGTTAGCAGGTACTTTTGAGGCTCCAGGAGGTTGAAGAGAGAGACCTGATGAGAAGAACAGAATGCTTTAAATGGTTTTTTAAAAATTATTTTGAGATATATCCAAGCAATCTATAAAGTAAACATTATTTCCTTATGTGTTTGTATTTGGACAGGTGTGGGGCCAGGGATGATCTGATGGTGTGAGTTTTAAGATTCAAGAGCTTAGAATTCCACCCAACAGAGCAGCCCTCAGTTGTAATTGGGACAATTAGTGAAAATGAATGGAATAATGTCTATACAGCAGATAATAATATTGTATTAGTGTTATTTCTTTATTCTGATAATTGTAGTGTGGATAGGTAAGAGAATTTTTTTTAAAGAAATACACACTAAGAAAGGAAACTTCCTGAAACAACCAACAAAGGCTGTTACTACACCTTTCCCAGGACCTTTGCACAGATGGAACCTCAGAAACCTTCCCTGACCCTGTAATCCCTACTGTAGTCTCTTGCCCAGTTTCATTCCACAGCATGGGAGGAGTAGAGGGGGGAAAATGCACCTTTAACCTCCATTTGACCTCGAGAAGGAGTTTGTATAGGAGGAAAAGACAAATTGCAGGCTGCATGAAAGGCTGCACTCCCCTGTAGAAACTTGATACATGTTTTTTTAAAAGATTTTATTTATTTTTACATAGAAGAACCCGGGTGCAGGCAGTGAGAGGATTCATCAGAGACAGAGTGGGGAGCAAAACAGGCAGACTGACCGAAATAACTGCTGAGGGGAGCAGTGGGCGAGACAGGAGAGGTCTGCTGCGCATGTGGGTTGCTCCCTGGCCAGCCAGGGATTGAGCTCGTGCTACAGTGGTTGCGGATAGCTTTATAGGTTACGTCTTAACCCCTTGCACCACCAGGGAGGCTCAGGGATTAGTGGAAAGGACACGGAGAGATTTAATTCAGGTTAAGCCTATGAATGTCCCTTCAAGTTGACCACTGTGTTCTTTTGACATGTCTATATAATTTGGCAAACATTTCCTTATTTTCTCACTCAAGATACTCCAGGCTCCACTGCTCACTCAAATAAAAAGAAGTAGAAATTTAGGATCATAATTCCACAGACTCCTCCAACCTACCCTGAAACTGAGCAGGGTCCTCTGACATCCTGCTGTTCTTCCCAGGAAAGGGAAGAACTGAGCCTCACCTTGTGTCAGGTCACCCAGCAGGACAGTGTCCTAGATTGTATCTCATTTAAATTTTTTTTCTTATTTTTTTAAAAAAGATAATATTGGTTTTCACACCACATATGACTCTTGGTATGCCTTTATATGTCACCCCTTTTTTATATGTATGTTACCAACATACCCCCCACCAGGTCACCCACAATCCCATAGCTCCCTTCTATCTGAAACAGCCCACACTTAAAATTTCATCCTGGCTTCACAGAATCTCTAGCAAAGGAATGTTCTTAGGTCACTGAAAACTAGGGTCAGAAGAGCAGGCACTTGATTTCTCCCTTGCTGCTCCCCAGAGCTCCCAGATTTCGGCTCTCAGCCCTGCAGGGAAGCATCACACAGACAGGCCCTGGCTGGGGCAGCTTGAAGTTGCAAGTGTGTTTTATTGAAAGAAGCAGTGAGGAGGTTAACATGGTACCCCATACAAGCCTGTCCCACCCCCCAAAGCCACATGGTGCAAGCCTCCAGCAGGGATGCTGGTGTGGGATGGCCAGAGCCCAACTTGGGTTATTCCCAATTGGGCAAAGAGGGAAAAGCTCGGGAGATCAGGGGCTATGGGGATGGGTGGGGGTGGGGTGCATCCCTATCAGCCTCAGAGGAGACCCTCACGGAATGGAATGATCATAGTGGACGGGCTTAAGCGGGTTCCCTGCACATGCAATGACAATGTGTCTCATTCTGTTAATATGGTTGTAATCGGAGGTCTTTGGTTTCCAATCACACTCTGTGATGCTCATTCTAGAAGTGCTCTTGTGGCATATTGACCCATCCTTGCAGGGGAAGTTTGTCTCGTGGCAGACGGCCTGGACAGTCACAAGGTGCTCGTGCACAAATGTGTTGAACTGCTTCCCTGAAATACTCCGGTTGCTCATCATCTAGTCACAGTAGGTGCAGCCAAAGGGGCCTGTTCCGGAATCCACGTGCTGCCGCTGGAACCTCTGGGCCTGAGTCTCCCTCACCCAGGAAGGTCTCCCTCACCCCTACCAGCACCAGGACCAGCGGTGAGAACAGGATGAGGGACTTCAGAGCCATAGTGGCTGTGCTCCCCTGGAGGCCCCACCTGGGAGAGGAGAGAGGAGGAAAAGATGCCCCTTAGGAGAAGGACCCCACTCCCCCCGCTGGGCTCCGGGTCACAGGTGCCTCTTAGATCAGCAAGAAAATCCCCCTCTTCCTGTGACCTGCAAAGGTATCAGACACTATTGTTCTCAAGACCATTTTCTCCTGCTTGCTAGAGACACTCCATCCTCCCCTCTGTGGGTGAGCGCCAAAGTGACCAAACCCTGGCAGTCCTGTCTGTGACTACTGAGGTGTTTTGATGTCAAATACATGTGTGCCCTGACTCAACCGTCTCATTAGAGGATCCTCCCAAAGAAACCATGAGCTGCCCTGACACTCAGGATCAGGCTAACAGACCCTGCTGTCCTCCAGCTCAAGGACACGCAACCCAGTGCCTGGCACTGGCCTCAGAGAGATATGCCATGTGCTGCACAGAGAGACACTCCCCTTCCCCAGCCTGGGGCTGCTCCTTCCCCAGCCCACGGGGTCTCTTTGCAGCTGGCAAGCTCTACCCAGCCCCCGGCACTGCCTGGTCCAAGCTGTCTCTGTGCTGGCCTCTCCCCTCCTGCTCCTGCCTCTCCACCCTCAAGCTGAAGCAGCTCCAGAGACCACTTGGCGGGCACTCACCCGGGCTTCTAGCTTGGTCTCTGGAGAGTGGAGGCCTGGTGAGGCAGGTGGGGCTCGGTCTTCGCTGCGGTCCAGCAGCAGCTGCAGGCAGTTGCAGACCAGCCAGCAAACGGCGGGCGCCCCACCCAGGCCAAACAGCGCCGTGCTGCTCTTCATCAGACTGAAGGACCTCCGCGCTTGAGCCTCCTCCCCAAAGTGGTGCAGGCCACCAAGCCCCGCATCTCCAGGAGGAGCGGCCGCTTCACCAGGGGCAGCAGCTCGCCCAGCGCCACCAAGCGCATGGTCACCAGCAGGGCGGCACCGGGGAGCACCTTCCTCCACAGCAGGCTCCCCAGGAGCACCGGCACCAGGCTCCCCGCAAGGCACCATCAGCTCCTTGAAGTCGTCGAGGATGAACAGGATCTGCTGCTCCCAGGCCAGCAGCTCAGGAAGGGCTTGCCCCGTGGGCCCGGCCCCGGAGACCAGCTCGCCAGGCTGCAGGGCGCACGGCTGTCGAGCTCCTTGCAGCTGAGGTAGACGGCGGAGCCGAGGGGTGGCGGCAGGGGGCCGTGCGACCAGTCCAGCATCCACTTTTTGGCCAGCAGAACGGCCGTGAGAGGGGGTGTCTGAGGGGGGC